TCATCGTTCAGTCAGGTGTTGAGAGAATCACAAAAGTCCAAACTCATTATATTAGGTTTGGATCATTTTTAGCTATCTTCTAATATTGCGCATTACTGTATAACGCTTTAGATCATTCTCCAATCCTTCATCGATATATTTACAGCACATACTCCAAGTTGTATATAAGTTATTTGTTTTTGTATCTTTTAGATGAAACAATTGTTTAGATTTTTCAGTCAAATTCTATTGCTACTCGTTTTCATTTCGTCAATAAAAACCACACATGCAGTGGTTAACTACAAGTTAACATCAGTTATGATGGACTCTACAGGTAATTTGTCATTGTGGGTTGGTAAACGTCAAGCAAGCATTGACATCTATGTTGATTGGTGTAATAATTCATTGGGTCCGTTTTTTGATCTTGACATGGACAATGTATGGAATCGTAGTATGGTCCCATTAATAACATGGGAAATAACTGATTGTAATCATAGTGCTGAAGACGATCCAGGAATAACGAAAAGAATTAATAACAATACTTATGATCCATATATTAATCAATTTGGTGATCGTCTGAAAAAATGGTTGGCTGGTCCTGATGGCATATATGGAACTAACGACGATAGACGTGCATTTGTGCGACTAGGTATGAAATTTAATGAAATAGCATAGTCTGACAGAAAAACATATTCTTTATTTGTCATGAGAAAGCAGTATTTACATTCCTACTAGGCATGCACCAAACCCAAACTGGTTCAGCATTCGATATCAAACAGTCCACGTTTAGATTCGAGTTCGGTGCATGCCTAATTCCTGATAAACGCCAACAGAAGCCTGAGCCGTTTTATGAAATATGCTGTATTTGTCGGACATTTCTTTCCAATTATAAGTATTGAGTATTCGCTACGAGGATCATGACATAATGATAATCCAAAGTGTGTCACTTCAGTGTTTCATAAAAAAAAAGATGTTTTTTCTCTCACTTTCACTCTCATTACCGACAGCATTCATTTTGTCTGTTTTAAGTAGTAGTGAAGGATGTGCAACTTGATAATATTTGGATTCTCTGAGCACCAGTCGTATAAATTTTTCCTATCAGTCTTTCCAGCATCCTTCTCGGCAGACATTTGTCTTTTTCACATCGTATCGAAAGGCGTTCTTCCTATGTTTCTTCTATTACTGTAAGTGATAATATAGCTTGTCTTTTCCAGATGGGAACAAATGGACTGAGTTCGACTATTCATTGAATAGTCGATTCTTCTTAATGAGACATAATAATAGATTGAAAAGAATGAAAATGAGAAAATTCATTTTTCTGTAACGTCGCATACTTCACATTAAACATATTCTTTTCAACTTTATTACGACCCATCTCTCTAAATAAATGTCATCAGCACAAAAAACTCGCATTTCATATTTAAAAAGAAAAGAAAATGTAAAAGAGTCTGATAATAATTCAAACAATATTGTAAATGATAATACAACCAATATGCATGGCATATGTCATGATTACTGGAAACCAACAATACCATCCTATTCTGAGATGAATACAAGAACTAGAGCTGTTTTTACTATACGACCATTTGTCTATGGGAAATATGCACCTGATCAAAGTGAAAGTTTAGAAAAACATCAAGAATCTACTTATCATAAAATAGCTGTACAAAGTTTATCATTTAGACAGCAAGAAAGATCAGTAGCACAGTAATTATTTAATGTTAGTGAATTTAAACGTCAAGAAAATCGTGAAGTATAGTGAAGTAACAGATAAACAAGCCTTAACAAAAATTCGTGAATCAAGAATTATTTCAATTATGGTTGATGAAGGCACAGATATAAACTATCATAAAAACTTATCAATTAGCATACGTTATTGTAATCAAGATACAGGCCAGTGTATTCTTGCTCTGCATTGACCTTGCCTGAGACCGATACAAGATGCATGATGCTTTTTTAGAAAAATCTGCTTACGTGTAATATTTGCACTTTCTAGGTGAGCCAACACAATCATATATTACTTTATTAAAAATAAAAGATAAAGATGCACAAACAATATTTGATATGATTGTTAAAGAATTACAATCTCATGTGAAGATATACATGAAGTACAAGAAAGTTTATTAACATTGAGGTCATGATTCAATTTTATTAATCGATCATCAATTAGATTAGCAAATTGTAATGATATTCAAACATTATTAAAACATCTGCAATTAACATTAATTCAACCTAGTGATACACGATGGTTATCATATTCTCATTCTATTAATGCTGTCATTCATTGTTATGAACGATTAAGTATTGATAAAATTATATCAAATATAACAGCTCGATTTGAATCAAATGTATTTAATATAATCAAACAATAGTACCCTAATGATTTTAATAATGACTTATTCGCCGAATGGAAAGTATTTCGCAAATATTTATTTACACAAAAATAACAACAAACATATACAATTTTAACACAACGACAACAATGTATTAATTTAGTAAAAAATGGAATGATAAGAGACATGTATCCACAATTATCATTAGCTACTGAAATATTTTTATGTGCACCAATTAGTACAGCAACAGTAGAACGTGATTTTAGTACAATGAATAGAATATTAACTGATTTACGATATCGTTTAACAACAGAACATTTAGAACAATTAATGAGAATATCAATAGAAGGACCATCTGATTTAAATAATGATCTAAAAGATTTAATTATTGATTGTTAGAACAGAAGAAAAAGTGTAATGGTGTTGTAAAAATAATGAATAAAAGTCTGTGTGCCTTTGCTATATAGAAAAAAACATGTAGCTAGCAGCCCTCCAAAAATTTCAACCGCCCACCCGAAAAATTAAATCTAGACAAAACACTATACCAGTACGGATCTAAGATTTTTATGATACGGCATAATTTTGATCAGAAAATATATTTTGAACTTCCTTCGAGGTGGTATTTCATCATTGGATTTCGTGAGAAAGTTTTCTCAAAAAACTACCAGTGTAAGCAACAAGGTTGTTTCTATTTTTAGGTCATGAGATGAATGGAAATTGGTATTCGTGGTCAATAGGTTCAACTCCAAACGATTATGTTTTGGCATGGCGTCATACTTATAATATATTATTAAACAAAGGTATAGATGCAACAAGACTTCAATGGGTTTGGAGTGTAAATCGTAAGGACTATGGTCAATATACTGCAGAAGAATATTGGGTTGGAGAAAATTATACACATTGGCTAGGAATTAATGGATTTAATGGGGGCTCAAGTGCAAATTGGAGTAAATGGGAATGGCCAAATGAAATTCTTGATAATATGATGGGTCGATTACACAAGTTATCATCAACAAAACCGATGTCCCTGAATGCATATGCAACAGTCGGTGTACGAACAGGAAATACTACAGATGTGCAGTCAAAAAATGAATGGCTGCGCCAAATGTGTGATTATATAAATAACAATAACATTAAAATGGCATCTTATAATAATGTTGACGGACCTAACCAGGATAATATGGTATTTGGTGGTACACACGGTGATGTAATTTGGAATAATTTTAAGGCATATTCAGCCTATAGAAATTGTTTACAGTCTAATGATTGGATAGAACCAAACATTACTAATCCAAGACTTATTACTGATGAACAATTTGCTGGTAGATTCTCAACTGGAAAATGCATTTTAAAAAATCAAGATACTATAAAAATATTCATGATTTCGTTATTGATTTTTGTCTTTTTGAGAATGTAATTATTCAATAAAATTTAATATTCAACTGTGGTTTTTTTAAACTAGAAAATCATGATCTGATTCATATGAGATTGTGAGTAAGACTCGCTAAAAATGTCCAAGGAGAGGTATATTCATATTCTAATTTTTACATCTGTTTATCTCACAGATGAACTATGTTGTCATATCTCTATGATCAACTAACTATTCTCCTTTCTCTAGTTGCTTTTACCATTCTCTCGTCGGTCAGTTATTATCAACAAAGAAAAATTCGAAGAACGATCCAATGGTCGATACTTGGACGTGATTGAGGAGGTTAAAAAGCGGACAACTTGTTCTTGTTGCAGTGTTTTGTTTTGATAAAGTTTTTTTATATTTGATGATAACTAAGTTGAGCATGCACACACGAAATGTTTATTAAGTTTATAAGTAACTACGATGTAGTTCAGGTGAAGGCAAGACATCATCATGACTATACATAGCCGACCGGTCGGCTTAGGATTAGGTATGCACCAAATCCAATTCCAATTCTGGAATTGGATTTGATTGGATTTGGATTTGACTGGAGGGTGTGGGTGTGGTTAAGGAGAAGATGAATCCACATCCCCGCCGACGCCCACACTCCACACACCCACACCCACGCCCACACCCCACCCACACCCACACCCATAGGCGGCGCAGAGTTTTTGGATACGCTGAATCTCAGTTTCAGAGCATGGGATCCAGATGAAATTTATGGAGGATGATATTGAGCCTAAATGATGAGTTTTATTCAAAAACTTTTTGCGATCGAAGTTTGCGAAAAGATTTTTAAAAATCTTATTGCTACCCCTAAAAAGTTTTTTGCTTTTTTGTAGTATTCCATTTTTTAAAATTCAGTCGTAATCTACATCGAATTTCATCGACAGATTTCAAATTTCACCTAAAAATATGCATCCGTTCAGGAGTTATAACATTTTGAATCTTTTAGAGATGGCTCAACAATTTTCACAAAAATTCAAAATGTTATAACTCCTAAACGGATGCATATTTTTAGGTGAAATTTGAAATTTGTCGATGAAAATCGATGTAGATTGCGACTGAATTTTAAAAAATGGAATACTACAAAAAAGCAAAAATCTTTTTAGGGGTAGCAATAAGATTTTTAAAAATTTTTTCGCAAACTTCGATCGCAAAATTTTTTTGAATAAAACTCATCATTTAGGCTCAATATCACCCTCCATGAGTTTCATCTGGGTCCCATGCTCTGAAACTGAGATTCAGCGTATCCAAAAAATCCTGCGCCGCCTATGCCCACACCCACATCCACACCCACACCCCACACCCTACTATAATAAAGACGATGCTTGGGAGCATAGATTTATATGAAAATTCTCACCCAAATGAAATCATTCACTTAATAAGCTTCATATTTTTTTGAAAAAGAGGGTGTGGGTATTAGACTTCTCTGCACTGACACTCACACCCATACCCATAGTCTTCAATGTATTAGTTTTCTCATGATTTTAGTACCTAGAGCCTCGTTTACAATGATTAAAAAAACTACGTAGATCTATTTATATATTTTTATTATTGAGTCCTTCACAATGGAATTATTTGAGTTTACTTCCAACATCGAGACTGGACAAAAAAAACCCACTCTCATTATATATTTTTCTCTCGTCAAACATCACACAACACTTCTACGCATATTTACTTTTCATTTTCTACATGAAGGACTCATAGAACGAAAAATACCGCATGTAGTCTTCTGAAAGCTATTATTGTCAACACATATAATTACTTTGTTTTTTGCATTCGCCATCCTACGACAAAACTGCATCGCACGTGTACTTTAATTTAAACTTAAATTCGCTAGTACGTATGTATGAGAAATCAGTTTCATGATAATTAGGCAATAATAGTCGATGTATTCAAAGTAAATTTAAACTTCAAATCGAATAAAACCTTTCTTTAAATAAAAATCATGTAGTCACAATCACTTGCTTATGTTAGTGAAAATCGATGATGCTATCAGATGACAATATATTTCATAGATGATTATAGTTTTTCCAAACGTCAAAAAACCTTACTTAAATTTATGTTATGACGTCAGTCTTATTCATCACTATAATTGATCTGCTAGTTTTCTCAATTTGGTCTGAGTTGCATCATACAAACAATAAAATGTAAATTCTCTATTGGGGACTCCTTTGCAATTACTTAAATCTTTCTTATAAAAGCTTCATTGCACGTATTAATGCGAAATTAACATCATTTGTTTTTCAAACTAGTTAAAGTCAATGTTGTGAATATAGTGGCTTGTATAAAACCAGTAATAACTCTTCCATTGCTAATATATTTGATGAAAGATCTTATAGTGATAGTCGATCCCAATAACGGAATTAAATTATTCGACTTTCGAATAGAATCATATACAAGCCATATTCTTTCCACATTCAAGTTTTCACATTTCCTTGTTTGATTTTGAAAACAAAAAAACAATAGGACATTAGTCAGTACTATTTACTTCCTAATAAGGATAAAAAACAGCACACACTGAGTACTAGAATGATCTGTCTATATCCATCTTTGGCATAACTCAAAATGATCACGTATATAGAAGTCGAAAAATCTAAACACATCCTCAAAACAAAATCATTTGGGTTGCTAAAAAATTTTTAGTTTCACTGTTGCTACTTCGAATAATATCTTCATCATTTACTTTTCAAATGTTTGAACGTCTGAATTTAGATCAAGCTATGGTGACAGAATCGTATTTACGTCCTCCACAAAAGCATTACATTTGCCAATATTCTGGTTGTGGTAATCGTTGTTCTCGGAAACATAAAGTTTCTACCGTTCCTGTTGTGGATATTAAGAATTGTTATCGTTCTCTTCTTTATTCTGCTAAACTTTATTGCCATTATAGTTGTTACATTTGTGAAAGTTGTGGTCGTGATGATGACGACTATCACTATTATCAATGTCAAGGATGTGGACATGTTTATTGTCATGATTGTTGCTTTAAATAAAAATCATTCCGTTTTAAGATAACTTCACAATCTCCGCCTAAATTCTTGTCTTGTGTTCCTCGAGGACTTATCCTACTCTTGTATTGATGAAAAAGAGAGTGTGGGCCATAACTAAGCCGATCAATCGAGCAGTTTTTGTAAAAAAAATATCAAGTTTTTGTTGAAAATTCTTCATTTCAAGTCTTTCATGGGAATGTTTTTGAAAAGATATGCCCTGATATTGTTCAATTCACATCGTGTTGATCTTAATCTAGACGAGTATTTCATTATTTGAAAAATGCGAAACATTCACAATTGTTTGAGAAAAGATGAACTTTGTTTACAAAGAATCTTTTTGAATTGGTAAATATTTCCACTCATCCCTAATTAGTAGTGATTTTTATTGAAATTACATATTGATTGATATTCTATATCAATTTAGTACATAGAACAATGTTCCATATGTTATGAAATTATAATAGATCAATAGACTAGAGAAACTAACATGAAACTTCTATAATATCTGTATTTGGACAAGTAAAGTATCGAAAGTTTACATAGTGTCGAAAAAAAATATTTTAGGAAACCTTTTTGTTGCCTTATTCCACATGGATAATATTGAATAGACAATATCAGAACACTTGTTCAGAAAGAGATACATATCCAAGAATAAGAATGAAATGACTTTATAGTTAAAACAGAGAGATTTTCACCCATTCCGAAGAACCTGATTGATTCCAAAATATTTATTTGGGTAGCGTGAAATCGGACCCAGTGCGATATTGAAGTATACAAGTTTTTCGAGATTCACCCTTTTGAAAGTTGTTTCTGATCCTATTAGTCATTACTTGGGATCCTTGTTCAACAACTTTTATTTCCATAAAACAGCAATGCAATTGTGAGACCTTGTTTATTTATTCAATTATACATAGGAATCTATACAAAAAGATAAAAAGGAAAACAAAGAACAAAAGAATAACTTTATGAGGAAAGACATGGAAGCAGTCAATATATCGATAATAACATTTGAAAACGCAATAGTTTGAATTCTTTTATTTTATTTCAATTGATTTCTGAATATTTGTCATTGATGTGAGTTTTTATGTAAAGTTTTTTTTTGATCAAAATAAATCATGATGAAATATTCATAAGAGAATTGAACGTTCTCATGAAAGAATTCGATTTGAACAACACAATTTTTGAACATCTATCGAAAAGTGTATCAATGTATTTATCCAAGGTTTTCTTTTTCTGAAAAAGAAATTAATAAGAAATTTATCATATATCTTTGCTGTCAATTGAATAAATCTAAGAATATTGTGAACTTGTTTTAGTAAAATATTTTCAAGAAAGAACACAATGTTTTCATTACAAATTTAATCAATTTCAATAATTTAGTGCAGCACGGTAGTTTTGTTTTAATTCCTTACCGAAGAAAGTCTCAATTTGACAACATAGCAAAAACGTTGCCAAATCGACAAGGCCCTGGAATATGTGGCCTCTGTTTTTTATGAAGCTTTTCTTAGTCAATAAAAAACCGATGCTCTTCAATGATGATTTTTCTCTAGAAAACAGAAAGATTTCACTACTGTTTTCTATTCAAAAAGAATCGAATCTATTCGACTTCTGCAATGATTAAAAAAATTTTGGCATTAATATGATAGATCAATCAGTCAAAATTCATGTTATGTGCATTATAGAACTCGTTTGCCTTCACTTTCCACAATGCTACTATCATTATTTGTCAATCTATCGAAATCTTCGTCTTTGGGAACAATATTATCTTTGTGTGTCATCAATCGAGGCATTCGAATATATGTTTCATTCAAAAAAAAAAGCAAAACTCGAACAAAACAATCATCAGTGATTGCTACAATGATTTTTGAGCATTTCCTTACCATCAATATTGGTGGTATGGTAATTGACTATGCAAATTTCAATGAATGAGTCAATCGTGGAATATGGTCATGAACATCAGTACAATCTATTTTAGTCTATTTTTTCGATATCAGTCACCGTTTCTATTATTTTGTAAGAGATCGAAATCAAATGGGGAAGTCATCATTGAATGATAATACAAGCAAAGTGTAATATAAGGAGAATCGAATGTTTCGCGAAAACCGCACAGTAACAATTTTCCTGTTTTGGCTAAAATCACCAATTAGCAATCTTATGTCATTTGTGATCTAAATATTGATAACTTCTACATAAAAGATCCAAATCAGGTCAACAAATATGTTGTCAGGATGAGTATAAGTGTAGTTGTGCAAGGCTTCTCTTCATTCACATTCATATTCACCCTCGTCTATGCGAATTTAGTTTGCAACCGTTAACCGTAACATTTGATTCTTTGTTTGTGCTTGATAAACATAACGTTCAGACTATTTATAGTAGTGTGGCATTCGCACTTTTCATTATAGGTCTTTCTAACAATCTTTGTTCATTAGTTACTTTTATACATTCTTTATTAAACTTATTTGAAAGAGAATTTTTTTCTAAAATTTTTCCTAAATTATTTAATTTAAAACATAATTCAAAGAGAAGTTGTCCTTCATTTATAAAACCATCATTATTTTCACATTTGAAAAATTTATCAGCTATTTTTATTACTTTTTCACTTGTTTGATCTTCATTAAATTGTTGTTGAAGTTGGATAAATTTATCTGATATTGATTCAAGACAATCAATTAAAAAATTATATTCAGGAACAAGACGATTATATTCTTTTTCAATTTGATCATTGCATTTTTCCGATAATGATCATGCATTCAAGGTTTTATCCAACATATCCGATAATTTTTGAATTCGTTCATTATTTAATGTTGAATGATTTGTTGAATTAATTGATGATGAATTTGATTTTGTTTTTGTTTTGTATTAACATTATTTACTATTGAAACTTTTGAATGTGAATTTTGTATTGATAATCGATTTGACGGGACTATTGATGATACACATGAACTATCATTTGTTGTTTTATTAATATTTGATTTTATTGCATTAACTGGAAGGCCTTTTATTATTTTTTTCTAACAATAGATGTTTCTCCTTTTCAATAAAAAGGCCAATCATAGTTAACTTCTTCACTAGTTAAGATATTTTCAAAAATAAAAAATTCTCCTGATTTGGATTGTGTTGATATTGATGAATAATAATATATCTAATTGATCTTTTACATCATCATGTTTTTATCAAAAAAGAAGTTCAGATTTTTTATATGTTCTTCCAGCTAATATATTAACGAGACATTCTCTTAGTAGTCTCTCTTAAGATAATATTTGATGATTTTTTTTTCTTCATTGTTTTATAATTCTGAAACTTTGCTTATGATCCTTCTATAAACAGCTTCTTGAAAATGAATATGAAGTCATTGTTCAATAAGAGCACAACTTTCAAATTGATCTCGATTTATTTGTTTAATACATTGAAATCCTTCAGGTGTTTTATCTTCAGTTGATATATTAAATGAATATGTTTTTCTTTCACCATTTTTTGTTGGAATTGATATTTCTCCTCCATTAAGACTAAATTCAATTGTTGTTTTTCAGTTGTTCCAATAAAAGTTTGAATTGTTTTCATACATGAATCAGTTAATTTAATAAACATATGCATTTTTCCATCATTTGAACATGCTGTCTTCTCATTGAATGAAAATCTTTGATTTTCAGCAAGATTTTGTCTCATTCCTCTTTTTTTTAATCTCTTGGTAAGTTGTTATAAGCAACTTTTCTCATCAGTCTGTAGAGTACGGTATCTGCCTTGTCTTTACACAGCGTGAAAATATGACCCGTGGAGAATCAGAATGTGTAAAGACAAGACACATGTCGTACCCTGCATACTAACAAGAGATATCGCTTGTAACAAATTACCAAGAGGTAAACGATCAATTCTGATCAAATACATGTTGCAATGACGAAAGCGTGTGGGTTGATGGTATCATCGACTTGCCAGAGCAACATTTTCTATAAATTATGAAAGAAGGATAATATGAAAAAGGAGAAAAAGTCTTACATCAATACATGTAAATATGCGTTGTTTAAAATTTCAAAAGATATTTTCGTAGGAAACAGAAAGTCAAATGAGGAACAACAGTTGGATGAAAGAAAATGTGCCGTTGATGTTTGGAAAAAGAACAGGTGGATAGGACAAAATAAAATGATGTTTTAAAGCAGACTGAGTGACGCTGAAAGAAAACGTTTTGAGTATCTGTTACACTATAATCTTTCATATCTGAGCCAAATATGTATATTATAAAAGAAGTCCATCGTGTTTCTTTTTACTTAATTTTTTGAAATTGTTGCTCTGGCAAGTTAGTATTGGTACCGACTCGCATGTTTTCATCATTGCAACATGTATTTGATCGGATCTGACCATTCACCTTTTGATAATTTGTAAGAAGCAACCTTTTGCTCACTATGCAGGACATGACACCTGTCTTGTCTTTACACGTTACGTGTTTATTTCGTTCATTGGTTAGACCGACTGGTGCATAAGGAGAAGACAATAGTAGAGACTTTATTTCACAAGAAAAGAGCTACCGCTTCTCAGTCTTTTCGGCTAACGAGAGAAGATCTCCAAATATCACGTACGGTTTTGAATTGGACATATACCAATTTGTAGAACTGGATTACTGAACTTGTGATCTTCGGCAAAGAATATATGCTTTGCCAAAGATCAAAAATTCAGTAAAACAGTCATAATTAGAGAAGGACAGAGTATCGAAACGAATGCTTTTAATTTGTTTAGGTGATGATACTACGATTTTTGAGAAAAAAACAAATAGAATCTGTAAAATGATTTTTTGTTGTTTCACCTTAAGCTCAATAAGGTATTACTTTTGTGAGAAAGCGAGTTGTAACGAGTCGAAAACTCATTTTTCATTTTTTTTTCAGTTCGAAATTCAATTCATTGTAAGATCTTAGTTGTATTAAACTCTTTCTAGAGTTAATCATACTTTTTCATCGAACCTTGGTGAGTATCTTGTATAGTCGAATTCCTGCTACTATTAATCGATGCGAGTGGTTGAACATTGAAAAGTGCACAACGAAATTTATCATACTCAATGTTATATCAATAATAACTATTTCTCTGTGATAGCTCAAACAATACGCATTCAATCTTCTCTAAATAGATTTCAATCAATCATATGATCTGCAAGAAAGTGTTCAGAAGACTAATGTTATTTTCCATCATAGTCATCTTTGATGGGTTCTCAAATAGTAGGGATCTTTTTGCTCACGTACACTTTGACCAACGACTTTTACATATCAATATGACCATAACAGTGGGTCTATCCTGTCTGCAATGAATGATGCAAATTATACAGAATCTATTACAAATTGTATAAAAATAGTATGTAGAAAAAAAATCAATGAATGATTGAAATGAACACAATATGAACAATATATTTATTGGGACATACACAGAAATTGATGCTAATTAGTATCAAATACAAATGAATGTTGTTTTGAGTAGATGTATGGGCTTAATATTGTAAATCATACTGATAAATAAGAATTTATCTATAGCCTGCTATTTATGAATCTTTAATCAAGCTCATCTGGTTGAATTCTTCTATTTGTCTCTTGAAACCGCGATCGAGCCATGCATAAAATGTCAGAAAAACTTTATCTATCTTTTCAAAAAAATATTTTTAGAAACGCTTCATACTTCTTCGCGTGACGTTTCTTCATTACATTCGATACACTTAATCCTAGTGCTAATGTGAAACAATGAAATTTAGAGATGAGTTTGAAATAAAGAGAAAGAATTCAACAATCACCCTTCTTGTTTATCAATGCATAATCGACATTGCCGATGTCCACAAGCAAGTTGAAAAGGATCTTGGAATACGGATGAACATTTATGACATTTCATATCGAACGAAATTGTATTTGAGATTACAACTCGTCTGCGTTTGGTCTTTGTTTTTCGCCTTATAGGAATAGGTTTCGAGATTGATTGATTAACTGGATTCACTTGGACAGATAAATGGTGATTCAAGGCGGCAGTAAGTCGTTTGTGCAGATCGGCCGTCATGAGAAAATGTAATTTGTTACTGACGTTTTGAAAGATTTTATTATGCACTTGAAATTCAATTTCGCAATTATAATAACTATGAATTGAATCTACGTGGACTAAATTATGAACATCATTTGCGATTAGTTGTTGAAGATATTGACCCGGAATGAATACACGACATGAATCGTTGCTATTTGTTGGTTTTGATATATTATCAAGCAAGGCTTCCAAAGTTGAGAACACGTTGATTGTGGAACTTTTCATTTCAGTTAACCATTGAGGTCCCAATACAAAAGCTATTGGATTCTTGTCATCAGTTTTTTCAGCCATTTTCGTCTGATATCAACACAAGTACGTTGTATACGAAGCAATGCACGTCGACTTTTCCTATTACTCCAACAGCAGAATAAATAATTTCCTATGGATCTAAAATAAAATCGAGTCTTTATTTCAGTGAATTGGATTTTTTTCGATGAATGATATGCGTTGGATTATGCCATGAATATTTTTGAGTCTCTGAATTGGTTCATAGTTGATCAATGAAAATTTCTATATGATATTACTGATCATATAATAATAAATAAGAGAACAAAAACACGGACAGCTGCTCTAAAAATTACGTTTCGAATGAAACTAGATAACTATTAGAGCTTTCTATTTATTGACACCAGTTATCATCGTTCAACAAATAATCATGTCTTAGGGTTAACATGATTCATCGATATTATTTCTGACATCTATTATATTTTTAGCCTCCTTCATTGAATGAGACAGACGAACAAGATAAAATGCAGCCGATGTGAGGAAGTAATTTCATAATCATGTTGACACGAAAAAATCATCTTATTGTGTGCTCATGATAATTTTCTCTATCAATTAAGCTAACACACATCAGTTGCTACTTTCATATTAAAATTCATCATTACAGCAACTGTTTGATTTTTCATCTCATTTGAGTATGATACTTACTTCTAACTTTTACTTGTATTCTTCGAATACAAACTATAGAATGATTCATAACCTATGATAGGTCGTTATTCATTCTCGATGATTCAGGTCTCATTTTTTTTCAAAACCTCTTTCTTTACAATACCTACTAATGGCTAACAATGGGCATGCTATCAAATCAATGAATAAAAAACGCAAATAGTGTTGTGTTGAAACAAGTCAGTTATGCTTCTTTTTTTTCTCGTTGAAAGAAGAAAGTAAAGAACGACAAATTGTAACTTGGAAAAAATCCACCCAGTAATGTTGAAATGATTGTTATAACTATATAAAAATCCCACCCATTTTTGTAGATGAATCAAGTTTTTTTTAAAACTCTTTATCGTTTCTATACAAGCAGATATCTAGTTAAGTTTGCCTATTAATTCTGTATGTGTTAGTTAGTAAGTTTTTGTATTAGATGTAAATATATTTGACATAAAACTGTGTGCAACGTACAATAAAAGTCAAGCAGAAGTCAGACACAACCGGAATAGAAAGCGTGTGGGTGTGGGTGTGGGTAGTATCACTTGTTAATCCATACCCATACCTATACCCACACCCACACCCACACCCACCCCACACCCACCCACACCCACACCCTCTTATAAAGAACTTTTTCTTGGCATAATTGTTAGTCAAACGTTTTTGGTATTTTGAAAAAATCGTTACCACATAGTTATTGAAACAGAGAAGTTTGAAAATATTTCCTCACTCATTTCTGTTAGTTTTGTACGAAGAAATTCATTTCATCCAAGAAATATCTTCAATTTTCTTATTGAAGCAAGACAATGATAGTCACGACATGGAAAAGCTTCCGTCACATGTCAATACTCTTCGTTCCATCTAAGAAATATACTCTCTTATTCGTTCGCATCTCTTTGCCAGTCACATTTCTTCTTTTTTTTTGCAGTTCTTACTACAGATGCATGGTAAGCTATGCACATTACCTGTATTATTTGCCAATTACCTTATGTTGTACACAGCTTATTTCTTACTCACTACTTTATTTTTCGAAGATTTTACTTTATGCGCACTGTCAGCCCAGCAACTATAAATTCGATTTCTTTTCTGCTGACATCAAGGTGAGTTTGTCGGTGATAGAAAATGCAATGATTGCTATTTACGATACTTTTCTCTCTCTGTGTCAAACATTCACTTCTCTTTCTTCTTCATTCGTATTTATTTACCACGCTCGTCTGTTCTATAATAACCTTGCCACTTTGTCAGCTTTTACTGTAGTTTACTACACATCGTATTGATCGTTTACGAATCATTTTGTTTATATAAGGTATTGGATATTCATTATGCAAAACATACTTTGACTACTATGTATACATATTTTACTGCATTTCTTCAAGATAAACTAGTCGATTGATTAGAAAGAGGCTGAAAACAACCATGATGAATGAGTTCACTTAACACTTTCCATTTCTTTTTATAGTGTAGGTTTTGTCTCGCATGGTTTTGAAACTGTTTTACTCATATATTCAATACACTTATTTCCTCACATTTGCATTCGCTCTATCACCAGTTCTTCATCTTTTACAGTGCATCATTACTCCCTCTGTGTTTCTGCTTGTTCTTCTTCGTCTAACAAAAGAACGGGTTCCTCCTCCTTTAACATTAAACTAAGCAGACCTGCGAAAGATAAAATCCTGTAGAAGCGGTGTGGATGTGAATCTAAAAATAAATACACATACTCACACGCACCCATTCGCCCACACCCATATAGCCACCTACCCATATTCCCACAAAATCCTTATCCACACCTACACCCATGTCCACACCCACACCCACCCATACCCACACCCACACACCCATCTACACCCACATCCACATGCTTTTGTTCTTCTTTCGCGGAAAGTCAATGTCCTTATGCACAACATACTTGAATAGCAGCCTTCACTTGCATAGTAAATATTTGATAAGAAAATGGAGGATGGAGCGCTTTGTTGGCTGTTATCAGTGTATTTTCTCCAAATTCGAAAAAAAACAACGCGAAGTCAACGCACAGGTGAAGTGACGCTGAATCAGAAAGTGTTGTGCTGACGTTTGCGACACATTAATGTAAGCGAATTTCTTAGAGATTGTTATGTGGCGTAACACAGCTCGAAACTGACCACTTTTTCACGGCCCAGATATCGTTCAAACCCTCCCGATTCGATTTAACTTTAACTGAGCCCTTCTTGACCAAGCTCGTCGATTTTTCCATGCCTGACCGGGTCTGAGTCTGAAGGAAATTTTCTTTACAAAGGCTTTCTTCCAATAGAATTTGGAGAGTACTAGGGTGATTACTAATGTACTTAGGAGCAAATAGTCGGTATTACAATGAATTTGATAAGGCCCAATTGTCAAAATTGAAATGAAACCAATATGAGATAAAGTGAATTATGTTGAGTCAAACAAACAAACAAAAGTTGTTGTAAGTTATTTGCACTCAATAATGATCGCTATGCATAAATCGGTGTCCTACGGCACAGAATGTTTTATTGGGCTCAGACTATGAGAAGTTTATTATATTTCTGAGTGGTAGATTTTTTTGAGCTCGACCATCCAGTAACGTAGTACCTTGTCAAAAACAGTCTGCTAGCGAAAGGAAAAAAGTTTTGACACCGAAAATTTCGAAATATAAATGAGCTGAACCGCCAAACTTCGGTATCAAAACTTTTGTTTTTCTCTTTGATAAATCATTGTTGACTGCGTACTACCTCATTGATGGTCAAGACCGAAACAGGCTTTCGCTCAAAAAATGGCAAAAGTGCGTAGGATTATCCTTATCTCAGAAAGTAATAATAGGCTTTTCGTGAATCCATTGGTTAAGCGATGTTGAATAGTTAGATAAAGTATCATTTGCAGCTTCTGCTCTCGACGATGGTGTATTACCGACACACTTTTTCTCTCAATCACAACCTCTCGCTAATCAGAACATTACGTGAGTACAAGATGTATGATCGGTTAAAGCAATTGCTATGGTTTATCATATTGTTTGTAGTTGAAATTGACATAGTTCTTACTATCATAAAGTTCTTCAATAATTTTTTTCACTTAAAACAGGCATCTTGAAACGATCGGAAAACCTACAAGAGAGCCTTTCCAGGTGCTACAAAGCTTTTGAGCTTAAATTTCGTCCACAGGTAGGGGATGTATAGACTAGAGAAAAACCTAATAGGTTATGGGTACAAGTTGCAATTTAGCTGAGATACTGAATTTTTACTATAATTTAATTGCATGATCCCATATTTGCGGTGAAATCAAAGTTTCGAATTTCGACCGAAAACTTTGCTCATATCAAGGCCTCAGTCAGACTAGTTTCTCTAGAAAGTTTCAGAATTTTCGGAAAAATTATCTACGGCATACATGTTAACGTGAACATACTTTGTCATGGGTATTATTTTACGCATGAATATTTTGGAAAATTCACATCTCGAAGATGGTCTGTCCAAAAATCCTGAAACTTTCTAGACAAGCTAGTCTGACCAAGACCTTAAAACGGGCAAAGTTTTAGGTCAAAATTCGAAACATTGATTTTACCGCAAACATAGGATCATGCAATTAAATTACAGTAAAAATTCAGTATCTCAGCTAAATTGCAACTTGCACCTATACTCTATTGGGTTTTTTTCTAGTCTATATATCTCCTACTTGTGGGCGAAATTTCAGTTCAAAAGATTTTTAGCACCTGGAGAAGTTCCCCGTTAGTGTAGCAGTCAGATACTCATGCTTACTTATAGTAATGAGAAACTATCCCGAGTTGTCTGTCGGGAAAATATATATTGGATGAAAAACGCTGTCGCATTGGTACCATAATCCTCTCACAAATGGAAAAATATTGTAGTGTGTACAAGTCAGCCAGTGCTTTGTCTAGTTTT